AAAAAAAAAAAAAGAGCGCCAAGCGTCCCACAGGTGGGACGGTGACAGTTAAGGGGTTTTTAACTGAGGATTTTTTTTTTTTTATCAACAAACGGGCCGTGAAAAGAGGTGCTTAACCTTCAGGAAAGGTAAAACTAAATATTAGAATATTATTTCACCTCAGAAGGTGAAACTAAATATTATAAGCAATTTTATTTTAGATTTATTTCATATTTCAATTTTAAAATTTTGGACATCTAAATACAGTTTAAAATCATAAATGTAATTAAACTGCACACTTTGTAAATAACATATCTGCACACTAATAAACATATCTGTACATTTATCTAAACAATACATTTTTTTTCTATACTTCTATTTCTGTATATAGTACATTATTAAATGTTTCAAATTTTTCTTTTTTTAGGAAGCTCCTGTCGTCAAGTCAAATTCCTTGTGTGTGTAAACATACTTGGTAATAAAACTCTTCTGATTCTGATTCTGATTCTGATTAACAAATGTGACCCTGGACCACAAAACCAGTCAGAAGGGTCAATTTGAATAAAGCTGAATAAATAATCTTTCCATTGATGTATGGTTTGTTAGGATAGGACAATATTTGGTCGAGATACAACTATTTGAAAATCTGGAATCTGAGGGTGCAAAAAAATCTAAATATTGAGAAAATCGCCTTTAAAGTTGTCCAAATGAAGTTCTTAGCAATGCATAATACTAATCAAAAATTAAGTTTTCATATATTTATGGTAAGAAATTTACAAAATATCTTCATGGAACATGATCTTTAATTAATATCCTAATGATTTTTGGCATAAAAGAAAAATCTATAATTTTGACCCATACAATGTATTGTTGGCTATTGCTACAAATATACCCCAGCGACTTAAGAATGCTTTTGTGCTCCAGGGTCACATATGCCGTGCGAGTGACTGATTGTGTACCTGTAGTAAGATGATCATGGTGAAGAACATGTAAAATCCCGCTAGGACTGAAGGAATATAATTGCCATTACTGTCAGGGACGATGTATGAGGGCATGCTGGTAAAAGTTTCCAACCAGATCGCATGGCCTGTGAGAAAGAGACATTTACATTCATTAATGACACTGCTTTTGACAGTACTGTATTTCAATGCAGATATTCCAATAAAGCATCACTGAGCTCGAACCATAGAGAAAGAGAGAGAGAGCTTAATCATTGCTTTCATAAGACACTGGCGTGTGAGTGAGCTATTCTGGGTGTCTGTAGTGTCCTTCTTAGGCTCACACCTTACAGAAGGAAAAGAGCGCGAGGATTGTGTGAGGTCATAACAACACTTTATTCTTTATCTCAAGGACAGACACAGACCCGGGCCTCGTTTTCGGAGTTCAGAATCCGAGCATCATTTTGCAGCTTGTATGTTAAAGTAATGTACTTTGTGCTCAGCGTGTAGTGCGTCTTGAATTATCGAGAGGCTTGTTCCCTGTACTGTACCCAGGGCTCCGATGAGACACATGAAAAATAGAAGAACCACACAGAAGAGCACATCCGTATTCATCTTCCTCTCGATCTTGCTGCGTTTGTACCTGGGCCCGCTGTTGTTTAACATGGATTTGGTTTCGTGTCCTGCAATGAATAAATCATGGTATTAAAACAAGAACATTTGTAAAATAGCAACGGCCATTTATAAGCTATGCTATGTGTATAATTTATCAGAAGAGAAACAGTGGGCTACAGAAAACTTCAGCTGCCATCTGTGTGCAATATAATGCGCCTATTATATGTTCGCGTTACAGACAGCTTCATTGATTATAATGGGAGAGCGTTCTAGTTTGTTGCGTCGCTGCCGGTGTAAATGGGATGTTAAAGACTTAAGAAACAGAGTTTAGCAGTATAGCATGGGCTTATTGCGCTATTAGATGTTACAGTCACAGTATATTAGGCTTTATCGTTACAAATGAGAATCAGGGATGATGAATGACAATGTGCATTATGATTTATAAAAAGCAAACAGTTTGCAGATGAGATATGGGAAAACTAAAGAAAAGAATGAGAAAGTAATTTAGAAAGTAAAACAATAAATATAAAGTTTGTTTTTATGTTTTCGAAAGACAACCAAGGCTGCATGCATTGATCGATTGATTAAACATCTATTAACTTTCTGATCTAAAATACAGTAAAAGCAGTAATATTGTGAAATATTATTACAATTTAAAGTAGCTGTTTTCTGTTTTAATATACTTTAAAATATAATTTATTCCTGTGATGTAAAGCTGAATTTTCAGCATCATTACTCCAGTCTTCAGTGTCACACGATCCTTCAGAAATCATTATAATATTAATATTTTTGTGGAAACTGTGATACGTTTTTTCAGGATTCTTTGATAAATAGAAGGTTCAAAGCAGAATTTATTTGAAATAGAAATCTTGTGTAACAGTATAAATGTCTTTGCTATCTTCTTAGAGTTTGCTGATAACAGTATTTTAATTTTTGAGTGAACTTTCTCTTTAAGGTATTAATATGCACCCTTCGGGGTTAAAAAAGGTACAAAGGTGTATGTTTTGAAAAGTAATTTTTTTCTGAGAGAGTAAAATATTACAAATGATAAATTACTTTGAGAAAAGCAATAACTGTTTAAATGATGTGCATCTTCACAAAATAATGACATATGTAAAGTAGTATATGTAGTAAGTAGATATAGTGTTCTTTTATTTATTATAAAAAAACTTGACCCTCTAACACTAGCACTCTCTATTCTATTTCTATTCTATCTACTTTTGTTTTCTTGTTATTTGTTAAAAAACTTGACCCTCTAAGACTAGCGCACTCTATTCTATTTCTATTCTTTCTATTGTTGTTTTCTTGTTATTTGTTAAAAAACTTGACCCTCTAACACTAGCACTCTCTATTCTATTTCTATTCTATCTACTTTTGTTTTCTTGTTATTTGTTAAAAAACTTGACCCTCTAACACTAGCACTCTCTATTCTATTTCTATTCTATCTACTTTTGTTTTCTTGTTATTTGTTAAAAAACTTGACCCTCTAACACTAGCACTCTCTATTCTATTTCTCTTATATCTACTTTTGTTTTCTTGTTATTTGTTAAAAAAAAACGTGACCCTTTAAAACTAGCACTCTCTATTCTATTTCTATTATATCTGTTTTTATTTTCTTGTTATTTGTTAAAAAACTTGACCCTCTACCACTAGCACTCTCTGTTGTATTTCTATTCTATCTACTTTTGTTTTCTTGTTATTTGTTAAAAAAAACTTTACCCTCTAACACTAGCACTCTCTATTCTATTTCTATTCTATCTCCTTGTTTTCTTTTTAATTATTATAATAATATAAATAATAATAATAACTTCACCCTCTAACACTAGCTCTATCTCTATTTTATCTCCTTTTTATTCTTTTTATTTGTTTCAAAAATAATGTGTACTTGCTACGTGTACTGCCTTAGGCTAACCGAGACTTGTCACAACACTTCCATATTATTGCTATTTTGTTGGTTTTCATTGCTTTTATTGTCCTCATTTGTAAGTCGCTTTGGATAAAAGCATCTGCTAAATGATTAAATGTAAATGTAAATGTAGTGTATTTTAGTGTATCCCATGTGAGCACACAGTACTGTGAAGTGTAATGCTTAATGTGGTGATGAAATGTACCTGCGTACACCACTATTCCAGCTGCATCATCAGTATTTCTCACCGTGCAGCCGCGCAACAGAAGACTATCGATGCCGAAGCCCGTTCTCCTCTTATCAGGCCTCTCCCTGTGACATCAAACACAGCATCTTCCTTAGTCACCCAGACTAATTACCTCTGTGTGCCACGTGAGGAGCGGGCCCGTCTTTGAATGGAGGAGCAGGATAAGAGCTTTATAATGCTTGGGAACATCAGAATCATCTCTCAGCGTGATAACCCAGTTAATATGGCTGCAACGGGACAAAAAAAAGGGCCAAATCTGTTTTCCAGCCTAATTCATGCCCTGGATGTGTGGGGAAACTTTGCAATGGAGATTTAAAGGAAAAGTTCACCCACAAATGAAAATGTGCTAAATATTTATTCACCCTCAGGCCATTTGAGATGTAGGTGAGTTTGCTTCTTCATCAGATTTGGAGAAATGTAGCATCACATCACTTACTCACCAATGGATCCTCTGCAGTGAATGGGTGCCTTCAGAATGAGAGTCCAAACAGCTGATAAAAACATCACAATAATCCACAAGTAATCCACACCACTCCAGTCCATCAGTTAATGTCTTGAGAAGACAAAAGCTTAAACAACATCCATCATTAAGATGTTTTTAACTTAAAAAGTTGCTTCTGGCCAAAATATGAGTCCATAGTCCATAATAACGCTTCCTCCAGTGAAAAAGTCTAGTGAAAACAATCTCCTGTTGTCTCTCACATCAAAATCCAGCCACATATTGTGTGTGTGTGTGTGTGTGTGTGTGTGTGTGTGTGTTTGTGTGTGTTCAACAGAAGAAAAATACTCATACAGGTTTGGAACCACATGAGGATGAGTAAACGAATCAAATAATAATTTTGATTTTTGGGCGAACTGTCCCTTTAAAAATGTCTTGATGGATTTGTTTCTTACAAACACAACTTTGTACTTCCCATGACGTTAACTGATGGACTGGAGTGGTGTGGATTATTGTGATGTTTTTATCAGCTGTTTGGACTCTCATTCGGACGGCACCCATTCACTGCAGAGGATCCGATACATTATCAGCAGATTTTCATTTTTTTTTTTGGTGAACTATTTCCTTTAACCCTGATGCTGGTCCTCTACTCAAACACATTTGTACCATTCAGGTAGATGTTACATCCATGACCTTTGAGCCTTACCCATTATATCAGATGAATGTCCTCTCTATATGTGTTTTTTATTATTTATAACAATATAAACTCAACATGGCTGATGAAAGTGCTCATGCATCAACCTCTGAAATATTTACCATTACTTTCTGTTGCGGTGGACAGATTGTTCCTCTCACGAGAAAACTGGTAATAGTTATATACTAGTTTTTAAGTAAAGAAAAAGCATTAACGTTTTCCTTTGCGACGCGAGGGTTTAAGCAGTTTCCCTGGTTAGCGAATGACAAAATGTGAAGGCCAAACAAATGCTGTTCATTGGTGCGGATCTGACAAAAGAGGCAGTCATGATGATGGAGTCGTGATGCAGTTAATTGTGCATGAAATTGAATGATTTGAGTGAAATTGATTTTAGATACTCACACATAACCTTTGAACAGGTTGAGGTTGTTGTTGGGGTTTTCACACACTACAGAACTGTCAAATGTTTGAGGTTGAAATGATTCACCCTGAAACACATTAGAGAAAAACATGAGAGGATGTTTTTTCCTCCTTCTGTATCCTAATTTTTCAAATTCTATGGTAATTCGAACAGACTAACGAGCATTGTCTAGCAAGTACTGCTGCTGACAGTGAAACTACACGTGGCAAACTGAACAGTCGTCAACACATGAGCAGCAAAGACTTCAACATGCATTGTGTGTCACTCAGAATTGTATGACAGGTATGCAATTGTTTGGGAGTTGTTAGGTATCTATTACACAATCAAAGAGTTATGCTTTATGAACTCTGTGATTCAGTAGATCCGTATAATCAAACATCTGTCAAAAACTAAGGTATGACAACATTAAAAGGTGGTGATTTAAAAAAAAAAACAAATACATAAAAAAATGATATACACTATACTGCTCAGTAATTTTTTATTATTAATACCTTTTTTCAACATTACTCTATACAGGATTCATTCAACTGATCATAAGTGTCAGTAAATACATTTATAATGTTACAAAATAGTTCCATTTCAAATAAACGCTGTTCTTTTGAACTTTCTTGCATCAAAGAATCATGAAAAATCACAGAGGCAGATATGTCACACACAGTAAACTTAAACTATACATCCATTATTTTTCATAATTTATTGATAGAAATTTTTTTTATTGCTCAGAAGATACTCATTCATAGTTCAGGAGACTTCATTTTTTGACATACTGTAAGATTGCACATATAATTAATGTTGATATACAGTACAGCTAAGAATTTGGAGAATTCAACCGAAATCAAGTTCGTATTGAAATCTCTTTTGATTTCCACACAAACATTTCTCTTCAAAATGTTTTTGATTGATTACTTTAATCTTGGCAAATATTTGATATCCTGAGCACAACGTGAGATATTTTTTAGATTATTGGGATCATTTTGAGAAGAAACATTTGAGAAGCACAAGACCTGATATCTTATTTGTGACCCTGGAGCACAAAAGCAGTATTAAGTCTCTGGGGTATACAGGTGCATCTCAATAAATTAGAATGTCGTGGAACTTCATTTGGACAACTTTAAAGATGATTTTCTCAATATTTAGATTTTTTTGCACCCTCAGATTCCAGATTTTCAAATAGTTGTATCTCGTCCAAATGTTGTCCTATCCTAACAAACCATACATCAATGGAAAGCTTATTTATTCAGCTTTCATATGATGTATAAATCTCAATTTCGAAAAATTGACCCTTATGACTGGTTTTGTGCTCCATGGTCACATTTGTGGTTTTTCTCCACAATACTTTTTCTCTTCATTTTGAATATTAACAACAAGTTTTTAATTTGCAAATGAACTATTTCTAAATATTTTAACTCAATTAAAATGCTAAGAAAATACATAACATTAAATGTTTTTCTCTTGAAACTTCTGGAATAATGAACTTATATCCGACACTCCCAGTGCACTCACAGTTTTTTTTAACATTATATAGTTCTGTGAATATTATATTATAATGGTATACATATTTCACTTTATTTAATACTTTATCAATGACATTCATGAATATATCAGTGTGTGTCCTCACGTGTCCAGTGTAAGATTAGACTTTAGCGCAGGTATTGTGTGATAGGCAGCGCTCTTACCAGAGTAGAAAAGCCTGGCACCACCTTCCTCTGTTTGAGACTGGTCTCTCCGTCCAGATTGGCTGTTTCCATGTGACACACTCCATCAGGGTCGGATGTGTGCAGGAGCAGGATGTCAGCTGGGATGATCTCGTTAGAGAGCACTCTCACAAAATCCCCCACGCGGACATCTTTCCATCTCCTCTCCATGAAACACATCTGCTTCCTGTGAGGAGACCAGAATTAATGCCTCATGCGGTCCTCTTTTGATGCATTGTGGGGTTTCGGTGTACATATAAATGCACAGACACACTTTTGAATGATTACTTGCAGAGCTGGGTAAATTACTTACAAATTGTAGTCCTTTACTGATTCCAAATTACATGACAGAAATTGTAGCTTGTAACGTAATCCATTACATTACATTTTAGGTAATATAATCAGACTACTTTCAGATTACTTTTGACCTAACTCATTTATGACATTGATTTAAATCAGATAATCTTGTACCAAATTGATATAAAGATACAAAGTAACAACATGAAGTGCTTTAAACATTACATTACGTCAAGGTTTCCCAAACTGGGGTTTGTGACGGAACCGCAGGGGGTTCGTGAATTGAATGAAACGCTAATAATTAAATCATAAACATGTAAAATTATAATAAATAATTTTAGAATAACAACAATCAAAATAAAAACTTATTGTGTGAATGTCAACAAAACTGGAAGACTTCCTGAATGTACATAGGCGTTAGGCTATATCAGAAATTAAAATTTAAAGATGAAAAAGAATTAGGGAGAATTAGTAAATTATGGATAATTTATTTTTATTGTGTGAATAATATGTAATCATGTAATCAATAAAAAAAAGTATCTGCAGTCTGATTTTGACTATTTTAATATGCAATATAGTCAAAGTACTTAATAAAGTTATTCCACCACATATTGATTTCTTGACTCTTCTTTATTAAAACATTGGTTGTCTAAAAATGAATGTAAACATGTCTGAAAACATGGCATCTTTTCTGTTATTTTGACCAATTGTCATTTCATGCTCTAAATGACTAAACATTTTCATTTAAAATTTGGAAGAAATGTCATCAGTAGTTTACAGAATAAAACGAAAATTAAGTTTTACTCAAACACATAGATGTAAATTGAAAATTTTCAAGTGGTCTCTTAATTTTTTGCATATATATATATACACACACATATATATACAGCTATGGAAAAAATCACACACACACACACACACACACACACTATATACAGTATATATATAAAACTGATCTCCAGGTTTTTAACTATGCAAACCCTGCTTAAAATGTCAATTTTGTGTCATGCTAATACAATAAAACTAGATGAGTTTGTATCTTCTGGCATGTCTCGACGTCAGCTGTCAGTGAAGAGCAAGCAGCTGAAGAATCCTGCAGTCACAATGTGAGCGTCAGGTATGCTGCTCTACACGCACAACTGGGTCGGGTGGCTCTTTACTGACTGACGGCTCTTCAGCAGCACGGTCACACCTCACACACAAAGCCTGACGCACAACAGAGGAGCAATTATAAACATAACTTCAGGTGGAGCTCCCATGTTCTCTTAAAATAGCTGTGAAGTTGCATTTAATGTTTTGGCAAGCAAGGAAGTCAGGGGTGAATTGCACAAAAATATGCACAGGTCATATTTCACCCCAAAAACAGAAGAATAAAATAAGAAATGATGCTCTGCATAAAGAAAATTAAGCCTTTAGAAATATTATGATTTTCTGAATTGTGACATTATTATTATTATTTTTTAATATAACCATTAAGGGTAACCCTTTACAATAAGGTTCCATTTGTTAACATTAGTGAAGTGAAGTGACATGTGGCCAAGTATGGTGACCCATACTCAGAATTAGTGCTCTGCATTTACCCATCCAAAGTGCACACACACAGCAGTGAACACACACACACACCGTGAACACACACCCGGAGCAGTGGGCAGCCATTTTTGCTGCGGCGCCCGGGGAGCAGTTGGGGGTTCGGTGCCTTGCTCAAGGGCCCCTCAGTCGTGGTATTGAAGGTGGGAGAGAGCGCTGTACATTCACTCCCCCCACCTACAATCCCTGCCGGTACGAGACTCGAACCCGCAACATTTGTGTTACGAGTCCGACTCTCTAACCATTAGGCCACGACTTCCATTAGTTAACCACATTAGTTAGCATAAACTAACAACAACAAAAATACTTCTAAAATATTTATTAATCTTAATTAATGGTAATTCCAACATTTACTAATACATTTTTAAAATCAAAAGTTGTATCTGTTAATATTCTTTAATGGACATGAGCTAATATGAATTAA